AGATTATAAAAAAAATTTTAAAACTGAATTGGGGTAGAAAAATAGTTCAAATGAGCAAGAAATGCGTTGATTTAAACTACAGGATATGACGTCATGTCAGTAGTTCAAATGAACAATAGTTCAAACGAGCAATAGTTCAAACGTACCATAGTTCAAACGGCAGTTATAGTTCAAATGCGGATCCACCTGTGTAACCAATAACCATAGCTGTAGTCACTGTAGTGCATTTTCTCTAAGACTAGTTTTTTGAGAATTAATTTTAAAGCGTATTTGTATAATTTGTATAAAAGGCAATTTTTAACAAAAACTTTCCTGAAATTGAATAAAGCGTTATTGAGCATGAATCATTTTAGGTGTTGAGGACGTTTAACGCACAGCAATTCTTACGTCCTCACAACCTTATTTTCGAAGTCAAAATGACGTCACTTTGGACGTCCAAATGACCAAACTTTTGACTCCCAAATGACCAAACTTTTGACGTCCAAATGACCAAACTTTTGACGTCCAAATGACCGAATTAGTCATTTATTTTTCCTACATTTAACCACTGAACAGAGCCTAATTTATTCTATTAGTACTGCTACCCTTTAACCCTCCCCACTGGTATTACATTTACACCATAACTGTCCTTCTGTTGNGGTTTCAAGGTATATTCCTACAAAAGATCATTTTTCCATCAAATGATTAAATTACTTTTGAAATGTAATTTGATATTATTAATTTTTGATCATTTTTAGCACATAACATTTAAAATTGCGTTTAATAAATAAATTGTTGGAGGCTCAAGCAACCAAAATAATCAATTATACGTTAAATACAGATGGATGTACAGAACGTTCAAAACGGTCAGATAGATTCCTATGGCAGCATTTTAGAATCGAGACCGAGCGTTAATTTAATTGGCAGAGTTTTGCTCTCCTTTCATTTCTCTCATGTCTTCTACATTTCCCTTCTCATTCAGAAGAGGTTTTCATCATGAGACGTTGAAATGTCAAATCTCCCAGATAATCACATTTATTACAGGGTGTCCCAGTAAACATGATTATACTCGATCATTAATTTCTAGTATATGGCATTCTTAAGTTTTATTGTTTAGAAGGGGGGTATCTTTTGCGCCCACATTTTGGGCGTATTCCTATTTTTTAAATCGTTCGTTCTCGTGATAGAACGATCGTTCCCCAGGAACGACGCCCAGCTATCCCCCCCTCCTGCTCCCTTCACCCCATGCCTAGTATATATAATATAAGATGCTATACCAGCTGACCAACTACCACTTTAGCTACAAAATATTCTAACAATTATTTATGGTAACTACAGGCCGTAACTACAAACATGCTTTTATGTGTAGTAGTTCAAATAAAAGTTGGATTTTCAGGGCTTTTAAAAGTGGAATAGTATTAATTTGATTTGCTTATTTTAGCAAAATTTCCAAAACCAAATTGTTTAAATTATGACAAAAAAAACAGATCCAATTAGAGCTAAATATTGTTGAAATAAGACAAAAAAGTAAAAATTAACCAAAAGTTTAAAATACCGATATTTCCCACGGTGTATCTAGTTCTAACATTATGATTTATTTTCAATATGACTATATGAATTTTAAAATCTTTTACACAAACAGAAACAGGCAATAAACTTGTAGCGAATATAGCCTATGTAGCGTTTTTTATTTTTTAATCATTCAATCTATCAAACAAAGCTATTTAGGAGACTGAAAGATTATAGCTTAAGGGTGCCTACTGCCTACATACACCCTAACGTACAACTTACCCTAACGAAAAAATCATGCCGTAATTCCCATGTTTATTGGGACACAATATGCAGGGATCTGACCAGACAAATTGGAAGATTTGGAATCTGGGATATTTAATTTCCGAAATCAAAACAAATCAATCATTCTGCTTATTTTAGAACAGATAGAAGTCTTGCTAACATGAAAACTGAAAAGTGATTTTGGATAAAATTTAACGATTTGATTGACCACCCTCTGATTTACTTGATCCAACATAAACCTTAGACTATCTGGGTTCCAGTTTTTAATAATACATAAGTTAAAGATGGTGAATGATGTAAAACTCAAAGCAGGGGTTCTAATTTACACTCTTGTGTCATGTATCTATTTTGGAATTGGGCCTCTAACTTTGACCATAGATACTGTAGCCTTGGTAGTCTCAGTGTTTGCACTGTACATAATGTACATGTTTTTCAAAACCAGACCTCATTTGCATCAAACTGTTATTATTGGACTAATGAAAATGTTGGTGTTTGTTTACCTTATTGGCGTGATTAAACACTATATTTTTTATACACTGTTAAATGTGTTCCTGGACTCCGTAAAGGCGCTATTTGAAGAACATCCAACCTTAGTGTGTAGCTTGTTCTCACCCCGCTGGATTTTGATTGGTGGACTAACAACTTTATCCTTGATCATTTTAACAAAAACATTTCTAATCTTGTTCCCCCACAAATTCTTGAATCTTCAACATGAAAAGTGGACCATGGTATGTGTAGGTTTAACACTGACAGTCGTAGTGATGGATATTGGTATTCATACAGGACTTAATGGCCACTACTGCAATATTAGTTTTGCTATCCGTTTAGCTGGCGAGATTGGAGTTAACGCTAAAATTCCTACATTTCGATCCGTACCATGGCTTCAAATTATTATTTTGATTGTTGGAGAAACCATTTCGTTCCTTGTACCACGGTACAGAGCTTGGCAACAAAGAGCAGAAGTTGTGCCTGTACAAATCCCAATTGCTGTAATCGTACCTTCAGCCAGAAATCCTGTTCCTGTAGCTCAGGGCGGTTGGGTTGGAAATCAACAAGAAAATATAAACACTAGTGAGAAAAAACTGTCCAGAAACATTACCCTTTTAATGGGGTCTCTTTTCATCGTGTCTAGCTTAATGACCATTAATGCTTCTACAAGTGAAAATGTAGACTTGAGATTTATACTACTTCAAATCGAAATGTTTATTCTACGATTTCACATAAACGTTCTTCCTTTAGCATGGATACTCAGCACAGATGAGACCTTAGAATTTGCGTCCAAGAAGTGCAAAGAAATTTTAATCTTGGACTTTTGGCCTCAAGCTATCAGAGATTACTTTTCTGCAGACCTTTAAGGTTTTTCAATGTTCGTAATTTATCATTAAAAGAGGTTTTAATGTCACACTGTACCACTATTTGTTAAAACTACTATATATAATATATGGAGTAAAGTGCATTTCCATAATAATATATTTGATGTGTTTATAGTTATAATAAATTACTATGGTTTACTTCATTCAATGCCCTACAACTCCAAATAAGACAGCAAACGAGTAGTCATGTAAAGAAGCAATGTTGCGCAAAATGTATATTTCTAAAACTTTTATAAGATAAGTTTATTCATATTTTGTCTTGTTATGACTGAAAAGTGCGACAAAATGTTCAGAGTTTTTGGCTCATAACCTAAACTTTTAATTTCAGAAGCTAAAGTTGAAGGCTTAGAAAACCAACAAAAATTCTTGCTGTGTTCTGAAAATCATTCAGTAAACCATCAAAATACTCAATTGTTAAAGATTTGTAGCACAATAAGGGAACAAGACTTTTTCGGGTAAACATAGACGTCAGCCTGAATAGGGTTAATGAACATTTTCAGATGTAGTCAAATATGTTTTTTTTCAAATGCTACGGAGTGACATTTTAGGCAGTGAAAGGGGGAGGACAACAAATATATCCAATATAAAACACTTAAGAATTTAAGCAAAGGACTTCTTTTGTTTTATCATGCATAAGCAATGAAATAATTTCCTATTTCATGTATTTCTAACCCATTAATTTGTGGGGATAGGGTTAAAAAGTATTAATCATTAAATGGAATAAAACTTCTAAGCAAGCAAAAAATGCCTTTATATGCAGCACCTTTTTATATGAAAATAGTTGCAATAAAAACATTCATTATAATAAGTACACACACTGTTGATTATTTATTATTGAAAACTTTTTTAAATCTGTATTTATTACAAAACTTATTAAACATTAACTATTTAACAAAGATTACAGAAAATATTTACAAACTATTTCAATTCAAGAAAAAACTTTCAGACATTGTAAATTTAAACTTACAATGACACTAAGTAAATGAAAAGTGATTCATAAAAACTAATATTATTGTTATTAACTCAATTAAGTACTCATATTCAACAAAATTGCACTTGCGTTTATTTTTACTTAGTTCTCAACAAAAAATTAAAATTTCCCGCCGTTTCTATTTGGAGGTTTGGTTTGGTTCGTCCATGGTTGGCGTATTTTCTCGATCGTCTTCCCTCAAGTATAGTCGAAAATCTCCGTCGACGTTCTTCAAGTTTACATCGTCCTTCTTCTAAATAATTGTTTACAAAAATCGCTAATTCAAGAGAAAAAAATCGTTTAAGAATGATACAAGAAAAATAGATCTTATTTCGATTGTTTTTGGACAAGAGAAATGTCTCAGTCATTTTCATAATTTTGTTGTTTTAATAAAAATTATACCTTTGATTGCGGGATTTGAAGAGGTATGGTTTCAAGCTCCTGAATGTCGTCTTTATTACCCTATTGTAAAATTTTTATAAATTTTGGCTACCAAAAAGTAAAAGTTTACAATCGTTACTTTTCCTTTAGAAGGGCTATTGTGGAAAAGAGTTTTGAATTTCTGATATGCTCGAATATAAATTACAATTTATTATACAAATAGAATACAAGAACGAATAATTTATACGTTGAAGGATTCGATGATTACGTAATAATTGAAATGATAAATATGTTTTGTAATGAGTAATGATCAATATGTCGTCTATTTGTGCATAATTTTGCATATTTTTCTCTTTTCTATTGGAAACCTGTATTTTCAAAAATTTATTTAAACAAATTTAAACTACACCATTTATATATGTATTTATATCTTTGTGTATGAATAAATCTTTATAATAATAATATTACAGATAATACATTTCAAAAAAAATTAGACACAGAACTTCTTCTTGGTGTAATTACATCTATGGCTATCAAACCTCATGCATCATGATTGTCCTGTAAATTAACCCATCTAAGGTTTATGGCTTAAACTAACTGTGTTAAAATAATTCTTCAGGCTTGCATATTATAATAAAATGTTTTGCTCTCTTTAGAAGAATATTTTTTTTTGTTTTTTGATAACATTTGATATCAAATAAAATTAGCACACTTAGCCTAAAGTATAAGTTCTGCCATGTTGTGTTTTGCCGCTATCTTCTGACATTTCCATATTTTTCCATAAAAGATTAAACGCAAACTATGTAAATTAAATCTACGAGTGAAAGTCACCTCAGGATTTTCCAGTACTTTGATATCATCATCGTCACTCCAGTTTTCAGTCACTATCTCATTAGGCTCAGATCGTTTCCCGCCATTTCCGCCATACCGAGACCTGGAGTCACGATCCCGAGATCTATTTAAAGAGACGTTTACAAAACAAGTTCGATGTTAAGTTGTATTAATGCAAATTTGAAAAATTTACCGTTTCACAAAAATATAATTTCATTTGTGTTTTTATATTGCTAGTTATTGGTTTGAGTATGAAATTAAAAAAGAACAGTAGTTTTACACAGTCATCGTCGTATATATCAATACAATAAAGACGAATTTCGATTTAAATTTTGATTTCTACCAAGGTTTCAACCAGCATGGAAACACATAAACATGGTAACGGCATTGATATCCAAACAATGAAGACGACTTTTATTTAAGTTTTTATTTTTAACAAGCCTTTTTTCAAATCACATGTTTACAAAAGAAGCTTTAAAATGACAGCTTCTTCTGTAAACGTGTAATTTGAAAAATGAAAGTCGTCTTAATTGTTGATAAAAACGCTGACCACTGTATTTTTAATATTATTAAGTTTTTTAATATATTTTATATTGGATTTATTGTACTGAAGATATTCTAGATTTTCTATCTGAACATTTTAAATTATCATTTGAGGTTTTTTTTATGTAAAAGTGAACTGTGGATGTATGTGACAGAAAGAAGAAATAAAATTGAAAAATCTCAACACGTTTTATATAAGATAAATGATGACATCTTCCTTATTTTTGCTCGATCAGAGATTAAGGTGCAATAACTATTTCTAACACTGTAATTTTGGTTCGCAGTGCTATAAAGTTACTGGACAGAAATTTTCTCTTTATCGAGAAGGTTCAAGCTTTTCGGGATTTTATATATAATATAATATAATCTAAAAAGGCGAGAACCTTCGAGATATAGAAAAATTTAAGTCCAAAAACTTTATAGCATGTCGTGCCAAAATAATAGTGTTATAGGTAATTTTATGAAACGTTTGTGTACTTGTCTTATTTCAATGGCTGTTTCTAAATCAAATAAGCTTTTAAACAAAGCAGAAGTCAAAATATAAAGTTGATTACAATTTTATTTTCATTTCAACTGAAAAAAATATTTTGGAAATATCCTAATTTTTTTGGAGTGAATCCGGGAACCAATCAAAACTTTATAGCACAAGTGCTGTAATGTACAGCTAATTTAACTTTATAGCACAATGATAACTTTATAGCATGTTCATTATGAAATTCACGATGAAGTGAGTAAGAATGATAACGCAAACAATAGTTTCATAAAAGGTATTTTTGTGAATCCACCATAAAACTCTTTAGTAAGGATCATTTGAAATTACATAGACAGCCCCTTTAATCCTAAATAATCAGTAAATGATAATTTTTTTATGTCAAATGTTAAAATAATATGAAATAAGTTGTTTTTAAGATCAAATTCTGCGGAAAAATACGATCATACAGTTGTCACCTATTTGTATCGAGACTACCTTGATCGTTCTCGATGCTTCCTTTTAGATCTTGATCTTGATCTACTTCTCGATCTTGATCTACTCCTTGATCTAGATCGAGTTCGCCTTCCTCTGAAATTCAGAAATCAATTACAACCCTCAACTTGTTACGTCTGAATATTATTTCAGTAATTTAACGGGAANTTATCTAATTATTATTGATTTTAAAGGATTTATATGAGTTCAACCTGTTGTGCCTTTGATCCTCTTCTTCTTCCCAATCTCTTCCAGTTCTCTCCTTTCTTCCATACTCAGCTCTTCTCTCTCCCCGTCCGCCAAACCCCGGTCTTCTCTCTCCCTGTCCGCTCCAGACCCTCTCTACACCCCCCACACCTCGTAACCCTCGCCCTCCACGACTAAAAAGTAAAAGTAATTTCAAGTAATCAAGTGATCAGGTTCAGGATTACTCCTCTTAAAATAGAAGGTCCCTTAAAAATACGGCGACAGTCCCTTAATAGGTTCCTTTAGGGTCACTGAGCTCTTGGCATAAATCCAATGTGTTCAGTCTTTGTAACTCCATGTAAAATGTATCTAAGTGCGACCCACTGTGGAATAGGAAGACGACATTCAGTTTCATGTGCATTTGTTCAAGATATAAATAAAAAATTTACCAGTTACCTTGAATATCAACATATCAAGAGAAATGGGTCTGTGAACACTACACAATAACCGTTTTCCATATTTAATGGACTAATTAAAACCATAATTTGTTATTCCACAACTTTATAACTGTATGTATAATAAGGTTTCCCTGTATACCTGATCAGGCCCCTATCTAAGGGATTGTGGCCCCTAAGTAGATTAGGTTCTACTCTTCTCTGCTCCTCCTCCCTTGCCAGTTCAAGATTCCGTACTCCTTCACCAAACCGGTTCCCGGGCATTCCAGGACCTTCAACACAAAATGTGTAAACAAACATCAATAAATATAAAATAGTAATCTCTGTTTGTATGTCGGATCATAACTCAGAAACCTCTTGACAGATTTGCCTCAAATTTTGATTGGGGGAACTCGGGAGACCATGGGAATATTCTTAGCTTGGTTTTGAGATTCTAAAATGAGTGAATCCACTTTTAACGAAAAAATTAGCTAAGTAGTAAAGAAATAAGGAATATAAAGAAACAAGGAATATAAAGGAGATAGGAATATAAAGGAACATGGCATATACAAGAGATATGGAATATAAAGGAACATGGAATATAAAGGAAATATGGAATATAAAGGAACAAGGAATATTAAGGAACAATGAATATAAAGGAGATGGGAATATAAAGGAACATGGAATATAAAGGAATAAGGAATATTAAGGAATAAGGAATATTAAGGAATAAGGAATATTAAGGAATAAGGAATAAAAAGGAACAAGGAATATAAAGATACAAGAAATATAAAGGAACAAGGAATACTTAAGGAACAAGGAATATATAGGAGATAGGAATATAAAGGAACATGGAATATAAAGGAATAAGGAATATTAAGGAATAAGGAATAAAAAGAAACAAAGAATATAAAGGAACAAGGGATATGAAGAAACTAGGAATGTAAAGCAACATGGAATATAAAGGAACAAGGAATATAAAGGAATAACGAATATAAAGGAAAAGGAATATAAAGGAACAATGAATATAAAGGAACAAGGAATATAAAGGAAAAGGAATTTAAAGGAACAAGGAAAATAAAGGACCAAGGAATATAAAGGAACAAGGGATATGAAGAAACTAGGAATGTAAAGGAACATTGAATATAAAGGAACAAGAAATATAAAGGAATAACGAATAACGAATATAAAGGAAAAGGAATATAAAGGAACAATGAATATAAAGGAACAAGGAATATAAAGGAACAAGGAATAAAAAGGAAGAACGAATATAAAGAAACGGAATATAAAGGAACAAGGAATACAAACATTATTTAACACAAAACTTTCACAAATATACACCAATGAATAAAGGGGCTAATCTGTCCTTAAAATGTCCCTACCTGGGGGCGGAAGGGGCCTAGGTTCCTTCAGGTACCCTGTTAGGGGTAGAAGGGGGACCCCTGTAATACCAAGGTTGGGTGTGGACCCTGGAAATCCAGCAGTCAAAGGTTTCAAGTCAATCCCTTAAAATAAAAAATAATCTGAACGATATTATGTTCAAAGGGACTGTGTGGACGTAATTTGAACCGACCCTTCTTGTATGAAGGTTCAAGAAGTATGAACTAGATACAACTGACGCGGCCCAACCTACGTGTCCAAATGATTATACATGCTTTTCAGACGGTTCTCCATTTGTATAAGAAATATTTGTCTGATGTACAATTACCGCGTATACAATAAACTATTCTGAATAGTTCTCATACAAATGGAGTACCAAAGTATGTATTATCAAATGTTAGGGCGGGCCGCGTCAGTTGTATCTCCCTTTTATTCCATACTCCTTGTGTACGTTCCATTCACAACAGTAACCGTTGGATGATAAAATTTAATCCTCCTGTATCTTTTAAAATTGAATATTTTGTTTTTTAGTTGCAGCTCTTATGTAAATGTGACCTGCGGATTTCTGCAGCAAGCGAGAAAGTAGAAAACAACGCTTTCTTCCTTTTTGCGAAGATAAAAGTTTTAAAGGTTGCCGTTGTGAATTGGAGGGTCACTTCAAATTAGGGCTTTGTCCCTTTAATGCTAAAAAAGGAGCTTTAACATCTTAATGATAAAATTACGCGCATCGCAACTATAATCTAATATCTTTGTAATCTGATGGTATAAAACTTTGATATTTCAAACTTGACTATTTTATCTCGCGGAATCGTGGTTTGAAATATATAAGGTTCAGGGTTGAGCAAATTAGAGTTTGAGACGAATAATCAGTACCTTGAAAATGATTCTACGTCTGAAAAGAAAATTTTATTTTAAGCTGTTTAGTTATCTTAGTATCTTCAAATTCTATTTTTCTGAAGCACCAATATTTTGAAGCAAAACCAATCATTAAATAAACTCCAAGCAAAAATAAAAAATTTAATTTTTTTTGTAGAAAAATTAAAGTGAATGCGGATCTTTTCGAAGTATATTATTCAGATCTTTATAAAAGTATGTTTAGAATTATAATAAATATATTCAGAGATCTTTATAAAAGTATGTTTAGAATTATAATTAATATATTCAGAGCTTAGACCTTTTTAAATACATTCATATCATTTGCAGATCAACAACACCTTTTTCCAAGTATATTTATATAGCTTTCTGCAGTATATATTTTAAAAACATTCAGAGGCCGAAATTAAGGAATTTGAGCCTCGGGTTAAATTTAAGCCGCGGCTCAAATATGATTGGTTCCACTAAGAATCGTATTCATGGTTTCAAGATTTAATCCGGCGCTCAATTGAAACCGGTTTTTGGCGGATTAAAGACGCGGCTCAAATTACTGGTACGACTTTGTGCCTTCGTAGCTCCTCTAATTTTTATTTTTCGCACAACATGAAGAAAAGCAAATATATCAGTCGCATTCTAAAAACAGTAAGAACTCCCACCACAACGGACAGAGACACGTGACTACTATACTGCACTACCATTGATGTGAGTTCTTGTGACGTAATATGGACTTAAAAATAATATTATCAATTATATCTATTAAAAATAAAAGTTATAAAATAATAATTTGAGAAAACCGAAGTTACAATCCTGTTTCTCCAGAATATCTTCGTTTTCAGATTGATTGTGTATTTGCTGAATATGATCTAGGTTTACACCTACTATTTCTATTCAAAATTGTATATATAAGAATTTGACAAAGTATAATATCAATTTCTCGAGACAAGAACATTTATATAACTTTCATCGGTCGCGATCATTTTTTTTTGACAGTCCCTTTAAGTTTCGAACTGTCCTGTAGAAAACCTAATATTTGTCAAAATAATTCATAGATTCAAAATATTTTAAAATCAAAATAGGAAAAAACTTTTTTGGTCTTTTTAACATCATGATTTATGCCATGTCTATCTTTTTAGCAAAACAAAATCATTAAGTATGTGATTGTGAACAGTGCTTTTACTGCTTTGGTAGAATATTATTAAAAGACTGTGTGTGAATATAGAATGCGCGGTTAAAACACTCTCTTCTCCGAACAATCTGAAAAGTGCAACATTTTGATAATCTGAAAAATCACATTATACATATACTAGACAACAAAACTAACATTTATTTTACAATATTAATATAAAAATCACAAGGTGTATTTATTCAAGAAATCAGTGATCTTAGAATGATTTCTGAGCGCACGCAAATTACGTTTCGCGCGCGCAATTGACCTCTACTGACCTTTCGGTTGGGCCACATCAGTCATAAATGCTGGTGCACTGGAATGGAAGTTAGGAGGTGGACTATTGAATACACCAGACCTCATTTCACTTAAAGGATCATAATCAATTATTGTTGACGACATTTTAAATAACCCTCTATTTTTAGAGTCCGATTCACAAATATAACTATGTCTGATCATAGACGTCGATAAAATCAGTTTTTTTTTACTCGCTTGTTTGATTTTTATTGAACACGCCGTTTTAATAAATTCTATTTAAAATGTGGTTTTAAAATGTATCAAACCAAACCAAACCAAACCAAACCAAACCAAACCAAACCAAACCAAACCAAATCAAACCAAATCAAATCAAATCAAATCAAATCAAATCAAATCAAATCAAATCAAATCAAATCAAATCAAATCAAATCAAATCAAATCAAATCAAATCAAATCAAATCAAATCAAATCAAATCAAAGTATTGTTGTAAAACAGACATGACACTCGTTAAATGGAGGAAATGGAGGCACAATTGCAATTACGTCTAAAATAACTTTTCTTTTATTTTACAAAAAATATCATGGTAATAATATTTAAAAAAAATTCAGTCAAGTTCGGCTTTAATCGCTAGAATATAACAACTCTTAACTTTACTAAAAGCGAAATAACATTATTTTCTTTAGGCTAGCTAAGCTTTCAACTTCTATAGAGAGGATAGAAGGGGGTCACCAATATAATTTAATTGGAAAGTTGATTTTAAAGATGTTTCACCTCTCCGCCAATTTTCTTGCCAGTTCTGCTTTCCTATTATCCACTTCCTCCTGGATAAGGATTATTAAAAACTAGTGATTTTTTATCCAAAAATGAGGATATTTAATGAAAAGGGATTTCATTGACCTCCCATCAAGAAACTTTTGAAAATGCTAACCTCAACCTCCCCGCCCACTTATTCAAAGAATTTTTTTTTACAAAGCTTCAACCCCCCAGGGGCGTACGAGAGCATTTGTGTAGGGTGGGGGGGGGGGGGACTTTTTGGGGGGGGCGGCACATCAAAAAAAAATTGCCCCCCCCCCTTTAAAATCCCTTTTTTGAAAAAATATTGATAACTTTTTAACTATGTAAACTATCCAATCATATACACACTTCCTTATAAGAAGTGTTAATAAATTATTAACGTAATTTTCTTAAGTGGACTCATCAGACACTTCCTCTTAACACTGTGGTGTAAGTTTCAATGGGTGAAAAATAGAGATGGAAACGTTTCTTAAAAATATCTATATTTTCATAGAAACGATACATATTGTATAATTATTAATAATAATATCAAAGATATATTTACACTGAAGTAAAAAGTAAAGTAAAAGTATTGATAAAAGCTTTATAATGAAACTTTTTTAGTTAAGGACGAAAGTGAGATTTTGAAGTATTTTTTTTTAATGGGTGCCCCTCGTACGCCTCTGAACCCGAATACCGAGTATCAGCAAATCAAAAACCTCCCCTATAATCACCCAAACACATTAAAATTAAAATTTACCTGTAATTTTTTTAATTGCTCTGTGAACCCTCCCGTGTCACTACTCTGCACGGTCTGTAAACCTAGAGCAGGAAAAACATTTCTTTATAGACAACTTTTCACCAAAACCTTTACTCGATATAAACATAGATATTAAAGGGAGAGACTGGCTATACATGGTAGTTGAGCTGAAAGTGTAGTACTGTAGAGGAATATACTTAAGTATTCATTTAAGACCAATGAGACATTTTAACGGTGTACAATTTTTAAATAAGAGCGTAAAGCCATGTGTAATGTTTCCCCAGTTGTTTCAGCCAGCAGCTTACAACTAAGAATAACATCTAACAAAACAAGTACAATTACTATTATACAAACTAGTTGCAACTTGCATGTGACCTACAGATTGAGAAAAATAATCAACTTATATCATTAAAAATAAGTTATTAAAATTCATTTTAAAACCTCGCCGGTTTATTCAAATTCTTTCAGCTATAGGGTCGTTTGATTTTTTTTCGTAAAGACGACATTTTGAAGAAATCTGCATATAAAATTACAGAAACAGCAAAGGTAATAATGATAATGAAATAATCGATTTTACGGTTCTGCCATGTGTCCATTCCTTGAAGATGAGAATATTTTTTGAAAATCTGACCACGTTTGGGCATAAAAAATGGCTAAATAAAGTTTTGCAATGATTTTATAATGTTGGAATCTTCAAATCCATGAGAATGATGTCATACTTTATTTAGGTTAAAACTTAAACCTCTTCTGCCTCCAAATGACTAACTTTTATAATTCATAAATTATATCAAAGTATTAACTTGAACATGGTTTTAAATCTTTACATTTCAACCCTTATAATCATTGATTTCTGATATATTTACAAACAAGGCAAATTTTTGTTCACTTCTGCCTGTCACATGATTAGGAGAAAATAAGGTTTCATTTAAATCATTGAAATCATTTGCTACAATTTATCCATCACAACCCTATGAATTCAAACAATTTTTAAATCACTAAGGAAATGTGGGTGAAAAATAAAGTGTGAGAATAGAAACAGTTGTTTTGATTGAATTTCAAAATAATTTGCAGCATTCTATGCAAAAAAGGGCTACTGCAGACAGATGCTTATTTGTAGAACATCGTTTTGGAAGTATGAATTTTTTTTCTCACAAATATAAAATTTGTAAATTCAATATTTCATTTATTCCCTAACTTGGACAGATTTTCAAAAATATTCTTATCTTCAAGGATTGGACAATTATTTTTTGAAATATTAATTAAATTAAGTTATTGTAAACAAATTTCCTTCAGCTGAGTGGAAGAGAATAATTATATAAAGATTTCAAAAATTTTAAAAATAAAATTTTAACATAACGGCCTGATCGGTTCAACCGTTTCAACATTACTTTGATCCAAAAAAAAACAGTCAAGGAAAAAATGTATGAAAAATGAATATGAGATTATGTGTTGCGACTCTTTTCCTGAATTGGTTCTGATTGACTTTGCTTGTGTTTACTGTTTATACACACAATATACATTACATACATTGTAGCCTTATGCAAAAGCTAATTTTTATTATGATCTTTTTAAAACTTTTTTTGGAGGGCGTGGGGGCTCTTGCCTGGGGAACTGATCCTTGGTGGTGGTGGAGGTTGAGAAGGTGTAGAGTTAGTAAAATACCCTAAAAATAAAAATGGGTAAAACATGTTTAATTGAGTTGGAAGAAGTAGTATAGGTAATTAATAAAATGTAACAAAAATAATATCCCCTCCCCCTTACAAACCTAAAATTGCCCCTCCCCTGACAAACCTATAGTTGCCCCTTCCCTTTCCAAACCTATTGTTGCCAATCTCCCTTCCAAACCTATTGTTGCCCTCTTCTTTTCTAAACCTGTGGTTGCCCCCCTCGCTTCCGAACCTGTAGTAGTGCTTAGTCCTGTGTTCTTACCTGGAACATATCCTGGTCTATCTCCAGGATCTAGTCCTGTGTTCCTACCTGGAGCACATCCTGGACTATCTCCAGGATCTAGCCCTGTGTTCCTACCTGGAGCATATCCTAGACTATCTCGAGGATCTAGTCCTGTGTTCCTACCTGGAGCATATCCTAGACTATCTCCAGGATCTAGTCCTGTGTTCCTACCTGGAGCATATCCTGGACTATCTCCAGGATCGTAAGCTTCGTCCTCATCTTCAGGACTATAGGGCTCGTCCGCAGCAGAATCTGGAACAACTGGAGGATACTGAACCTACCAGTTATCTCGTCAAACCAATGCAGGAGAAATTTCATACCACGCAATGCATGAGAATTATCATATCTCGCAAATATTTTTCAACCCCCTTCAGAAAATTGCTACCCAGTATTTTCTAAAAGTTGTCTCGATTTCAACACGTTTTTACGTCTAAACCTTATTACGGTGTAATTGGCAATGATTTGTATACATATATTAGGCTTGTGTTTAAATTCAATGTACGTAAAAACGTATTATATGTATACAAATCAATGCCAATTACACCGTTATAAGGTTTAAAGTGTACAATTAAGTTTTAAATGGTAGTTATAAATGGCAAGCAAAAAAGAAAATCGTCATACCATATAAAAATGGTCTCCTTTTAAGTCAGTTTTTTTTGTTCTTGACAGCTTTAAATCCTTTTTAAAATTACTTCATTGCGATTACCAAAGGTAATGATAGTTTTTTTAACCAATTTTTTGGCAATCTGATGGTGGTTGACATTTGAAACATTATTTGATAGTAGATTATCAGAATGCAAAATGTAAACATTAAATTTGTGTCAAGTACTCATTTCCATTAAACACCCCCCCCCCCCCTCCCCTTCATCCTAAAACATGTGAGATAAATGTTCCTTGTCTTGGTGAATAGGCGTGTGTGCAGGTTTAATAGAGGTGGAGGGGGAATCCGAATAGGAGGGCGGAACATCAGAGGTAGGCGTGGCAATAGGAGGCTCGTAGATACTAGGCTTGATGAGCTTGGTGGGTGGATGCGCATGCACTAGATGATCTCCTGGTCGTTTTCGTTTAGTTCTGATGATGAGGCAGAGCAGGGTATCCCCCCGTAGTTCCGGCAGTCCGGGTCCAGACAGGGGAAGCAGAAATAAGGGGACAGGGGATACAGAGTCCAGGGGGAATATATAACAGTCCTAGAAACAAGAAAACATTGACTCATTTTGCATATCTAGTTATTTTAAGAACTTTTTTTGTAAACTTAAAATTCGGCGTCAATGATGTTCCAAAAGAGTAAATAAGATAGGTGTTAATTCCACATTTTTTGAAAATATATTTTGGTCTAGGTGGACCCTCTTTAGTTCTAACGATCTAATAACCTTAAAAATAAATTTTAAAAAATGTAAAAAAAATCACAAGAGAATAAAGGAAAAACATTTTAAAAGATTAAGATATGTACTAAAGATAATTTGTAAATATTCGCTTTTTAGAGAATGTTTACAGAGTTTGTCATTGTTAAGATCCAAACCATACCTTGACCATCTTCTTGTTCGCATTCCCTACTACGGCAAACCTCTTCCTGGTGGCGAGGTACTGGTAGAAGGTCTCGTAGCTCATCTCATCTCCTTGCCTGGCATCCAACCGTAGAACAACAATCTCTTTTAGCTAAAAATAAAAACAGTTTTATTACTAGCTGAAGTGGCCGGCTTGCCTGTAGAATCTTTAAAGAATCTATTTTTTTACTTTTGAAAAAAAATTAATTTTTGAAAAAAAGATTCGATTTTTTGCCTATGTAACTCCCACGGTACCCATAGGTTCCCTCAAAATGTTATATATATATAAGAGCGAAGAGCTGTAATTTCCTTCCAAAATGTGTCAATAAAGATTATAGAACCATTTTATTACAAAATTTTATGATAATTTTCCTAACGCATAAATTGAAGTGTTTACATTATGGTTACAGAGAAGCTGGCGACATAATCTGTTTAAGAGTTACAACTTACATACATGTCCGATTTATAACGGTACCACTTACATATTAGGAGTTAAATTCAAAAAGATATCTTCGTTTCCTACCTTGTCTATGCTGCGTGAATCCGCAAGTAACTTTAATAGAGAATCTAAACTTTTTACTCAAGACAGAGTTTTGTGAACTCTTTGAATGAAGGAAATTCCGCCGGTAGTCCCTTTTATAATTACCGGATTGAGCTTGATCTGTTGAACGTATGTAGACACTAGGTCTGGTGGAATCCGTCCAATAACATTCATGAATCCTCCGAGATCAGAGGATAGGTGATCCCACTCCCCACTCATCTACAATACATGGAGATATTCACATTCATTATTATTATTATTATTATTATGCACATTGCACATTCAACCTAGTCACTTAAGTTTTAGTGGATTAAGAGCAATCTAGAGTATTTCGAGAGCATATTTGAGCATTTCCAGAGCAACCTAATGAATTTCAATGGCAATTTAGAGCAAACTAAAGCAAGTTTAAAAGATAACTATATTATTTCTAGGACAACTTGGTGTTTCTAGAGCAGCCTAAAGAAAATCTGAAGAAATGTAAGGTATTTCTAGGGTAATTTCGAGTATGCCCTGAGCTGAAAACTTTAGGTTAATCTTAGTATTCAATGTACATACTTTTTTGATTTTCTTCCTAGTCCTCTCTTACTGTATAAGAAGTTACGTTTGATAACGATTCAGATACTATGCTATATCGATTGAACTGTACCGATTGAACTATTTAAATCAGCTGTTCACAAGCCGACTTTAAGAGCATTTGAACAAATATAAATTTAATCATGTTGATATGAACCTATTAAAACACACATTTTATCACATTTGAGAACTATAGTAATATTGAACGTTAGTTTTTATAAACTTTAATCCAAAACTTACGTTCGTTCAATCGATCTTTAGTTTAATTGATATGACACCATCAACACCAGAAATGCGAAAAATAAAAACCGGGGTTTCAAAAGTTAAAGTGCGTATTTGACATGACACGCTGATAAGATGAATTTTAAACTTCTTTCTTGGAGATCAAGCATTGATTTCGATATCCACCATTCTAAAGTTTTCAGCTCCTGAGCAAACTAGAGCAATTAAAGAGATAACGAGCGTATTTAATGCATTTGTGGAGCAACTTCTAAAGCCTCGTTGGCGAACAAACAAACAATCAACCATCATTATGAAGAGGTCAGGGCTAAGCAATGCAATTGCACCGTCAAAACTAATCGTAAAATAGATTTATTACGGTAAATACTGGCAAAGGGGTGATGATAATCAAAAGCAAGAGTAGAGGAACCTCGACCCAATTTAGAGCATTATAGCAGAATAATGATCATTGATCACCTTATGTGCAGTGACGTTGAACTTGGCGACTTCAGCCATGGTGACGTTCCCGGTCCAGACCGCGGGATCCATGGAACTATGGTCAATCAACTCAGGGGTACGGATAGTACTGCTCACCTAAACAATTCAATAGGATAACATTTATTAGAACCGGTGTGACGCGAAAAAGCGTCCGAACCTAAGAAAATGTCCAGGCTATTGTATTCGGTCTTAAGCATCAAATTTTATAACATTGAATAGATTCTTTTAAATGTTACGACTTATTATTACGTAATTTTTACATTAGCAGGGGGTAGAAGTAAAGCTATCTACGGTTATCATTCTTTGGAAGGAACACAGCATTAGGACTGAATATCAATTTTTTAAAAACATTTTTCTAATATTGCTACATGTTTAAACTTTTATAACTTCATGTTTATTGTTCAGCAGGTGTTAACTGTTTATCCTAATCTAAGTATATGGAAACGTGTCCAAATTATTGAGAAGTACCACACTAAACGGGCATTACCACACCCGGAAGCTTTTATAACTTCATTGTTCAGCAGGTGTTAACTGTTTATCCTAATTTAAGTATATGGAAACGGGTCCAAATTATTGAGAAGTACCACACTAAACGGGCATTACCACACACCCGGAAGCTTTTCCACGTCAAACTGGTTGTCCTAAAAAAGTTCAGGAAAAATCCCAAACTGAAAAAGCATAAGATATAAGAAACAAGGTCAAAATTCTGAAGTTTTGACAATGAACAAAGTATTGTTTGATGCAGGAAAATGAAAAAAGGTGAATGCCAGAAAATAAACTAAGTTGATACTGATAATTCGAATAAAGATTGTGTTTGAAAAAAAAAGTTTACACTGAAGATTTACAAGATTATTGAGGCAGAATAACCAGGTTATCTTTGAACAATTAAGAAAGAAAAACAAGAAAAAAAACATGGCGATTAACTGGTTTAGTATTTAATACCTCCTGCTCTGCTGGTGAGGAGAAGGAAGGTTGTGAGGGAGGAAGATCAAGCTCAGTATCATGATCAAGATCAGGAACAGGATCATGATCAAGATCAGGAGAATTTCCTCGAGTAGGGGAGGGGGTCGGGGACCGGTTGCGTAGAGCTTCCTCAAATGTCTTAAGCAATTGTTAATATTTACGTCAGAACAAGCTATTTAAAAAAACAAGACAATTATAGCACGGTTATCAAGTTAAGGACATTTATGATTCATAATTCTACCTTTAAAAGCTTTTTATATCAATGTTTTCTTATGGGAACTGATTATTTCTAATTTTGAATTCTCTACAAGTGACTTGCGCATTTCTGTTAAAGAAAAGATGGAGGAATTGTCAGAATTAAACACTTTTCAAGATTGTAAAACGACAATTATTAGTCATATAATGGTTACAAGGTACTGTTGTGAATCAGGAAATGGGTTGCCCATCTCTTAATGGAGAGTCAGTTAAAATTACAAATATATCTAAAATGTCTATTGTAACACTTTCTCTTTTTTACCATCTCTACGTGTAGTTTTTGGTAATCATTAAACAATTCCTTATTAAACTGTTCGCCAGATAGTTTAGCAGCTTCAATAGCAGCGGTAGCTTTCTCAATCTTCTCCTAGAACGTAACGTTATAATAAATATGTAATTATATAGCTTTCTCAATCTTCTCCTAGAACGTAACGTTATAATAAATATCTAATTATATAGCTTTCTCAATCTTCTCCTAGAACGTAACGTTATAATAAATATGTAATTATATAGCTTTCTCAATCTTCTTCTATAACGTAACGTTATAATAAATATGTAATTATGTAGCTTTCTCAATCTTCTCATAGAACGTACCGTTATAATGAATATGTAATTATATAGCTTTCTCAATCTTCTCCTAGAACGTGACGTTATAATAAATATCTAATAATATAGTTTCCAATCTTCTCCTAGAACGTAATGTTATAATAAATACATAATTATATACCTTTCTCAATCTTCTCCTAGAACGTAACGTTATAATAAATATCTAATAATATAGCTTTCTCAATCTTCTCCAAGCACATCATGTTATAAATAAATATCTATTTTAATAGCTTAATCAATCTTCTCCTCGAATATATCTAATTATAAAGCTTTCTTAATCTTCTAATAGAAAATTATTTAAGAAATATCTAATTATATAGCTTTCTCAATCTTCTCCTAGAACATTATGTTATAAATATCTCAATACTAAGTTTTCTCAATCTTCTCCTAGAACATTGTGTTATAAATATCTAATTGTATGGCTTTCTAATGTTATAATTATCTAATATGTACAGTAAGCAAGCCTTACACCTTATAACATCTTTTAAATTATATTTATTATTTAGTCTGACCTGTAGTTTCTTATTTTTATCATAATCTTCATCTTTGACTTTATCTTTTACTGTTTCAGTTTTCTTCTTCTCTCTTTATCAAAATCAAATTATCATCAAGCAAGCAGATATCAATATCAGTTACAACAATTTGGTGATCAAAATACAAGTTGTATTGCAAAACGATAAATAGGCGGAGTTGACAGGGTTTTTGTTGTTGAAATTTTAGATCTGAAATCTAAAATCTGAAAGTACATATTCCTGGACTGGAATCTTTTTAATCCAAGGAACGATTTAAATTGTTCCTTCCTTACTAGGATTCAACTCCTAAAGTCTAAAGCTTTTTTCCCTTAAACAGTTTGATCAATTCCTTGAGTGGTGTCGATGACGATCATGCTTGTCCTTATCTCGATTCCTGTCCTTGTCCTTGTCTCCCCGCCTGTCCTTTCCATCGTCCTTGGAACTCCTAAACAAATTCAAAAATATCCAGTCTTATTATTATTATTATTATTATTATTAAAAGGCAACCCGTCATTCGATGAAAGTGAAAAGTTCTATTTAAATTTGTACTTTTTTACCCTTTGACTTATCTTAAATTACGGAAAAATCCGCATTTTCTGGTATGAATTAGTACGGAAACTATAGAGCCCGAAACAGAGTATAGTAATGAAACCAAATATCGGAAACCCGGTTTCACGAATGGGGTCAGACAGTTTAGTAAATATCAATGTTGTCGTTAAGAAATATTATGTTATGTGGTTTCTTTATATTCTCTTTTTGACTTTTGATTTCCTGAATTATTATCTGTGCATTGGCAAATGAATAGACCCCAAAAAGGAAACTCAGGAGTTTTATTCAACAATACTCATTAGAAGTTCGACTCTGGGAAACTGGAGTGTGAACAAGTATATACAATACATGGTGAACTCCGTTAAATCCTGAAAATTCTATTTCGACTCTGGGAAACTGGAGTGTGAACTAGTATATACAATACATGGTGAACTCCGTTAAATCCTGAAAATTCTATTTCCTAAGGGTTTCTTAAACAATTCCAATGAAAATATCTATTGTCTTTGACTTCCTGAAAATAAATAATAATACTTTTAAAATTAATAACATCTTACATTACGCATTTTAACAGTATTATCATTTATTTCCGGGAGTCATCTTATGTCTTACATTATGCATACTAAGTTATTAAAAATTGCAAATAACAAAAATTCTGAAAATAAAAAACTCCGTAATTCAAATGGTACTATTGTAAATCGACATGCCACACTACAAATGCAAGGTCATCTAAAATTACGTATTCAGTCCCTTTTAAAGTTTAGGTTCAACAAAAAAAACTTACCTCCGTCTCTCTCTGCCCTTGTCCCTTTCCTTATCTAAACTCCGTGAACTATGCCGGTCCTTGTCCCTTAAAAATAAAAGTTTAAATGGACTGATGCTGAATTTTCAAAAGACCCTTCATTTAGATAGGGACAATTCAAGAATTCCTGCCGTCGTTCATGAAGTAAGAAACCCGCCAGTGACGTTTTCAAAGAATTGAAAAAAGAATCTTTTAAAGATTATAATGGATATTTCATTCATTTATGATCCTACACAGTTTTTTAGGATACCATAGTGGATCGGACATGCAACTTTTTTTAAAAATGGAGGTTGGCTTTGAATGGCGTCTCCAGTTCCTTTAATCCTCTGAAGAATGCATGCCAGGTAACCCATACAGGATGAGACTTTAAGGACGACTGGACAGGTAAAAAGAAGATCTGAAGGTCTTTTGAAATGTGACGGTTATCTAAAGAATTGGCACAGAAAGAAAACAGTTCAGTGTTACATGAAACCACTAAAAAATACTGAAAAATTCCCTGAAGTCTCATGTTATCTGAGACCAGTGTATAGTTCAGTGAGGAGTTTAAAGTTAAAACTTCTGAAACCTGAAGTTATCTTTCCCCTTGCAATGGGTAAAAATACAGAAACTTAAAAAAAAAACAATGATAATAGAATTGTATAATTAGGAATATTAAAAGAAACAATTATGATGATAAATATAATGATAATAATAATAATACTGATAATATTAGTAACAATAACAATTAGTTTTTATAAAACTATTGTGTACTTTATCATTCTTACTCACTTCATCGTGAATTTCATAATGAACGTGCTATAAAGTAATCATCGTGCCATAAAGTTAAATTAGCTGTATATTATAGCACCGTACTATAAAGTAATCATCGTGCTATAAAATTATATTAGTTGTACATTATAGCACCGTGCTATAATAAGTAACCACCGTGCTATAAAGTAACCACCGTGCTATAAAGTTAAATTAGCTGTATATTATAGCACCGTGCTAAAAAGTGACCATCGTGCTATAAAGTTAAATTATCTGTATATCATGAGTACGTGTGCTATGAAGTTTTGATTGGTTCCCGGATTTTCAATTTAGAATATTTCCAAAATAATCGTATTATAAAAACTATTACAACATCAACAATAATAATGACAATAACAATAACAATAAGTACCTTGAGCTATGTTTGTCTCCAGAACTATGCTTTTCTCTAGATCTGTGTCTATGTTCTGAACTGTGTTTATCTCCAGAACTGTGTTTATCCCCAGAACTGTGCTTATCTCCAGAATTGTGTTTATCTCCAGAACTATGTTTACTACCGGATCTGTGTTTGTGTTCTGAACTATGTCTACTCTCCCTGTCAGAACGATGTTTGTGAGATTTCTTCTTTCGCCTGTCAGAACTTCTAAATATAAAAAAATAGAAATGAAGATTCTTAAAAAAACAGTAATTGTAATGAATTTGAAATAATGAAAAACTAAAAGCTTTTCTGTTGAAAATCAAATTATTGTAAATAACCGTTAATCTTTATTTTAAGAGATGCATGCCTGATTCACAACGGCACACTGTAAATCTAATGACATACATATTTTTGTTTTGTCTGTAAATTGAGTATCTGTAATCACTGCGCTTTATATAGAGGGTCACCTAAAATCACGTTGACAGTCTATTTCATAGAAGGTTTATTTAAGTAATCTTTGCTCTTTTTCCCTTCTTTTTCCCCAACCCTAAAATCGTTGACTTCGGGATATTTTATCAAGTCCCAATCCTAACACGAGAATTGGGGAGTGGGACCCACAACCCAAACATTTCAACCAATAATATCTTAGACACTGACAATAAACGACGCAAGGGCTGAACCAAATGGGCCCAAATTTTTTGTGGTATCTCACAGTGACATGTGTAAGTTTATGGCCAAACGATTTCCTCCAAAATAATTTTGGAAATTAATCACAGAAAATCCGCTAAAATTAAAAAGCAACTTTACAAGCTTTACTCGTTACTCAAAAAGGGCCGCAATGTCTCCTAACAGGGGGGACTTGAAATACTGGAAAATAATTGTATTTCTGATTGAAATACTGGAAAATAATTGTATTTCTGATTGAAATACTGGAAAATAATTGTATTTCTGATTGAAATACTGGAAAATAATTGTATTTCTGATTGAAATTGCTGAGAACAAAAATAAATCTAACCTTGATCTTCTTCTTGGTTTGTGTGGTAACTCCTCCTTCAGCTTGAGATTTACAAAAGTATCCACAGATATTTTACCTAAATTCAATCCATGCTCAAACCAAGCCAATAACACAGAGTCAGGTGGACCATTAACTAAACCAATGAAATTACAAGGTTATCCACAACGGATCAGACTCAAATGACGACCTGAAACTCTTTGAATTAACTAAAAGAAGATTAATTTGGGAGTTCTGGATTAAATATATGATTTTGCAAAGAAAGAAACAAGTTTACATGTACAAGGGACATAGAATGTAAAATGAAAAACTGAATAAATTCCGTACAGTTGTCTCTGAAGTCAGATCCTTTATGGTAACCCTGGACTACAATATGAAGACGACATTTTGCAAAAAGTTCCCAGAGTTTTTAAAAAGAAAATTTATTCTCTACAGAAATCATTTTAATCTTGGGTTTAAGTGTTTCCAGATCCTTAATTATCAAAAGACCTAAACTACATTTAGTCTTTATAAATTCCCCCCCCCCCCCCTAGGATAATTTATTTACCGGTTCCTTTATAATAATGAAACTGTCCGTCTTCGTTAAATATAAATAAAATCAGTTAAAATAAATGTTAAATGTTTCAAGATTTGATAATAAAAGAACTCGATTCCTTCAATCACAATTGTTTAATTTATAATTTACTATTTGAGCAAAGATTCCTGTGCAAACATCACACATAGGTTCAACCGTTACATCCCCATGGTTCGGGTGTTCTCGGGTCTTAGGACCTGAACAGTGAATTCATGGTTCAAAAGTATTATTTTTTTTAGTACTAAAAACAACCGCCAGGTGCTACTGCACTGCACCTACGCCACGTGTCCAAAGGAGATCAAGTGTAGCGATGAACCTAATTCAAGTATTTTCTAGACCGGTTAGAATTTGAAGTGTCGTAACCCCTTATGTTTTTGGTTGTACATTACGTAATCACTTGTACTTTTTTCTGCAACTCAATACGTTTACATTTTTGAAATTGTTTCTGGCTTTAGTTTAATGGAGTAATTGGAAATATGCTGATAGATTTTTGCAAGAGAGCATTAACACTTTACTGTGATGATTCCTGGATGAAAGCACTAATGTCAATTCATTACATCACAGGAATACAAAAAAGGGGAAATATTCTATTGAGACAAAAGATGAGTATTAAAATAACTTGGTTCGTATTTTAAAGGCAACTTTTAAAACTTTAAGGTCTTTCAAGGGCAACTCCAAAATCTGGAAAGCTTCCAACATTTTTAAACTGTATTATGTAAAAGTATAATTGTTTAATTTTAAAATTAGTAAAACTTCTCCGATTTTCGATGAACCTTCAAAAAATTCAAAAACCTTTTAGGTTAAAGTGTCTTGCTCATCATTACGTGCATCCTACCTACTGAGGCCTCCGGAATAACTTCAGGTTGATCTTCTGGAAGTTCGGCAACAACTTCTTGCTTATCCAAACCTTCATCCTGTAACATTTCATGTACAAGAAACAAATTGACTAAGATTGAATTTTCACCCATTTTTGTAATTTTGATATGGACAGTAGACACCCAATATTGTAAGCTTGTTACAAACTAAAAAAAATTTTTAATGGGTTTTCAAAAATTGGATTCTTAAATGACTTGAGGGGAATATCCGCGAAATTATTTATAGATTTATGATTTACGAAGAGAAAAGGAGACACTGATGGACGGCAACATTGGCCAAAACTGGCATTAAATTGCTGAAACGTATTTTTATGGATAAATGACTTGTGAACCCAGCTTTGCCTGGAGGCTAATCTTAGTCTATGATAGTCAACCAATTCAATTCAGAATTTTTGAAACTGGCTAAGAATATTCCGGTGGTTCAACCGAGTTCCCCAATCAAAATTTAAGACAAAGCGGAAAAAATATTCCTGAGTTATGATCGAACATCAAAACAAACAGAGCCAGATAGAGATTACAACTTTATATATATACTAGCTTGGGAACCCAGCTTTGCAGAAGGTACTCATTGTTACTCCCGCTGTTTACCCGCACTTGAATAATTTTTACCGGGAAGCTAAATCTTCGCTATTCAGTCGACCCACTCAATTTAGAAGATCTCAAAACCAAGCTAAGAACATTCCCGTGGGTCTCCCGGGGTCCACAACAAAATTTGAGGCAAATCAGTCTATGGGTTTCTGAGTTATGATCGGACAAATAAACAGACAAACAGACAGACACACAGACAGAGAGTACTACTTAACAATTTAAATAATATCTACCTTCTCTATAACTTGTTCCCCTTTATGACTTTTCATGAGGTAGGTGTTACCCATCGACAGAAGATCCAGCTCATAGGACTTGATTGCCTGCTCAATAGTTTACAGGGTGTCCATTAAAACATGAAAGTTGAGGGACGAAATAAAGGTCGTCTTTGATCCTTTAGATAAGATTTTATTCGTCAACCTAATGTTGGAGGTCAAATTCTTGGAATTATAAGCACTTGGCATTTCCAACTGTGGTTTGTCTTTATTGTGCTTTTAAAATCATTTGGATTTGAATTTGTTAGCTATAAACTAAATTGATTAAATCTTAACTTGTAATTCTTCATATCTACGGTAATTTTGAGAGCACTAAACAGGGAAACCACATTTTGAAAGTTCCAGGGTACTTACTTAGTTATTATGTTGTTTCAAGAAACATGGTATACAAAGGAATGCCGCAAATTATTTTCAGATATCAAAGACGATCTTTAAGTTGTCTCTCGACTGCCATGTTTCCTAGGACACCCTGTAGTTGAACCATTGTGGTTGTAACTTAAAGTAAAAGTCACCATTGTAAATATAAAATACATGATCTTAATGATATTTTTTTTTAAATGTTTAAAGATTGATTTTTAGGGAATTATTTTTCCATGGCTAAGTCAATAAATTGCAAATGTTTTTTGATTCCCGTTTATTTACAGTTTAAATGTTTGGGCGAGGAAAATAAAATGTTAATCATGTAATTAAGAGATTAGATTTTACCTCGAGATCTTTCTTAGCTGTTTCTTCCCTCCATGCATGTAGTTCTTTACTGGCATATTCATCAGCAGACATACTTACAACCTTACAATAATACAACTTAGATCTTCACATCTTCAGACTTTCAACTTTTTAGAGTTTCAAGGTAAATTAAAAAATTTGCTCACTTTTTTGCACTTCCTTTCAAATAGTGCAACTCATAGATATTGTGCGGAATCTAAGATGAACAGTTTTTGTGTGAGCGCAATTTTTTGCGGATGGTGTATTGAAGTCAAATTACCTCAATTGCCGACAAATCTTTCAAAAGAATTCTTCTGAACAATCCATCATTTTTGGCATCCTTGATGTTGTAGGTTAAACTTCTGTACTTGTTCTTATACTTGGCTCCCACCTCACCAAAAATACCTAGTACATAGTAGATTACTTATAGACTATATATATTCATGTTAAACTTCTGTACTTGTTCTTGTACTTGGCTCCCACCTCACCAAAAATACCTAGTACTTGGTAGATTACATATAGACTATATATATTCAAGTCAAACTGCTGTACTTGTTCTTGTACTTGGCTCCAATCTCACAAATATACCTAGTACATGGTTAATATACTTGGTACATATATATTTCATTCAAGTTAAACTTATTCTTGTAAATAGCTGCTCCTCACCAAATACACTAAGTACAGGATAAAAGTACCCTAATACATATATGTATTTCTTGTACTTGTATTTTGCTCTACATCGCAAAAAATACGAAATACAAAATAAATTGCCCAGACGAGTCAGCCTTAATGTATTTTTAAGGAGACACTCATGGACAGCAACATTGGCGAGAGTATCCTTCAAGCCCAAACTGGCATTAAATTGCTGAAACGTATTTTAATGGATAAATAGCTTGGGAACCAAGCAACCTGGAAAACTTACACAAAACCCAACGCAAAGAGAAGATTTCAGGACATCCCACATCACAAAATACACTTAGCATTTATGTATTTTATGTTTTTAATGCTAAACCCTGTACTTTTCACCCCCTCAAAATAAATACCTATTACAAAATAGATTCCACAGATTAAATGCAAGGTAGGTTGAATATATGATTTTTTTTATTTAAATGTGTCTTACGTACTGAGCCAAACAAACCAATAACTATATATACATTCACAAAACTAAAAAACACAAGTCGCAACGCTAGGTGAAGATGATAGGACATTATATTGGAATAAAATATTTGAAAAATTACCAAACATAGCAATCTCAATCTCCTCGGCAATCTTCTGGATCTTCTCAAAAGGAATCACAAGATCAGAGCACTTCTGGACCTTCTCATATAGGGCATCACGGACACCCTTTACTATCTGGGACCTAGATAGATAAATAGATAGATAGATAGATAATTAAACAGATAGATAGATAGATAGATAAATAAACAGACGGCCAAACAGATGGACAGATGGATAGATTATCAGACAGACAAGCAGGTAAATAAATCAGATAGATTAGATGGATAGACAGTTAGTGTAGATGGATTAGGTAAATTAGATAGATTAAAAAGTTAGTTACAAGGAGTTATAGAACTAAAAATTGGACTTACTGGTTGTTTACATTCTTTATTGTAAACTCTATTCAGTGGTGTATTTAAAAACTCTTAAACCAGTTGCTAAATTGCTCAAATCAGAGTTAAGTGTAAACACAGGGTGTGAAAATTTAATCGAAATATCATTCCCACACATTCCCAGAAGTTAGGTACGGAAATTATTTTTTGGGGGGTTTCTTTGCTGGGTTGGGGGGGGGGGGGGCAATTAGTATCTCTTAAAACAAAAACATACCTTTGATTCTATTACCTCCTAGCTTGAATATAAAGGAAAGATCGAAGAAAGGATTATTAATAACTGCTGCGTAGTTCCAAGACGACTTGAAGTATCCATTGAATACAAAACCAACCCACCTTAAAACCTTGTTGTCCTGGGGTTTAGGAGATTCCTTGACAGGTTCTGGATCCTTGTGCACGATCCTTTTCTTCACTCTGCTCTCAGATGTTCTTCTCTCACGTTTAGGTTTACTTAGTTTCTCACACGACATTGCTATAGCTCTAAACAAACATTGCTATAGCTCTAAACAAACATTGCTATAGCTCTAAACAAACATTGCTATAGCTCTAAACAAACATTGCTATAGCTCTAAACAAACGTAAACATTTAAAGGGACTGTAGGCTAATTTACAACGGTATCCTTTAAACTTCTATCTGAATAACAATGAAAAAGATGCTGTCGTTTTCCTAGCCTGGAAAAATAATAAATCTTGAAAGTTTCTTTTATTCTCTCTGAAAACTGAATCCAAAAGTCACTTTTATGGCAAAACCGCAAGAAAGGAAACCACAGTAATTCCCTTTAATTACATTTCTATCAAAAAGAATAAGAAAGGACTATTTGTAAGACTTAGTTTCAAAAAAGTCTACTTATGCTCTTTTTGAATAACTTGCGAAAATAAAAAAAATCTTTACTTTTCACCTTTTTCTTAACTTTCAACATCTATAATTTTCATAAAAAGGTTTCCCTTATAGTTAGAATGCAAAATGTAAATAAAAAACATCTTTTATTAACTCTTTTAGAATTATCAACTTTCAATTTATAAACAATTTTTTAAATTGTGAACTGTGATTCATGAATAGTTTCAATTAACTTATTTATCAGTTATGTTAAACACATCAATTAATTTTTTATACTCAACTAGTGAGGAGGAGGAGGTCAAATTTATGCTACATTACTGGTATGACTTTGTATCCTCACTGCTCCTCTACTTTTCATTTATGTACAAGTATGGGCAAATCAAAATTAATTGGTTACATATTAAGAAATCCAATAGCTCTTCAATAAGAGTAGTAAAGACGATTGAAAACATGTCAGATTTTACTTCAACGTGATATTTCACTAGGTTACAAATAAATACCTTTTTAATTGTGCCTTTACTTCTGCTTGTATTTCTTCTTTAGAGAGAAGTTTGTCTTTCCCGACACCAACACCCTGAAACATCAAAATATTTCAACTGTTAAAGTTGATTCTTTTATACCAAAATTGAAAACAGGAAACTGTTAGTTTTGAACGATACCACGATGAAGAAGATAGAAATCCAGAATGGACAGGGATGTAAGTAAAAGAAGCACAAAACTTCATTTTTTTTCTCCCTCCCCTCTCCACCGGGGCGTATGCAGGAATTTGACCAAGGGGGGGGGGGGGGGATCACTGATCAGCCACCGATTGAGGCTGAAACCCTTGGAGATCATAGTTGTAACTTTTCCATGGTGTAAAAATAATTAACCCCATGTTAAGGTGAAGTGAAAGAAACATGTGATAGAACAACCAGACACTGATGAGCTCTTGGAACTTTGAAGAACCTTTTATTCTAAAACTGAAAGTAAAGACTTATCTTAATTTTAAATATTTGAAATATTAATGTTTCAGAGTGATTATGCAAGGATAATCGGCATAAGTTTTGGACATTCTTCTAACCGTAAAGGTCAAAAATAACTTTTATAAACATTGATAAAATAGAGTAAATTTGAGCATTAAAACTTGAGCATAGTCCGAAAAAGGCAAAAATTAAACATCGTGAGCTCCAGAAGCCCTTATTCACAAAACCTTTTATCGCACCAATATGACAATATGACTGCAATGTTTCCTAAAATATATTTAGGTTGGGAATCCAGATTTACTTGGAGCTAAACTTTATTATTTAAGTAAACTAACTCAACTTCAAATTTTTAAACAAAGCTATGAAATTTTTGTGGTCCCGCGAGTTCACTTATCAGAATTTGAGGCCAATCGGACAATGGGTTTCTGAATTATGATCGGACATACACACAACAATCAGACAACAGACAAATGGAGATTACTACTTTATATATATGTTTAATAATGCTCCCTTGCTGTAAACCTGTAATATGATCCAGGGATTGGAAATCCAATTGAATCAACGTCGTAGTAAATATATTTCAGGGATGGATATATATTCCAAGTCGTTTGAAAATTCCGGGGAAAATTATAAGATTTCGAGAAAATTTTATTTGAGAAAACATAATCAAAAAAAGCCTAGAGCATTTCTGAAAAAAAAATTCACCCCTAAAATATTGAAAGCTAAGAAATTTTTTCACCCCTGAATGCCCTACATTGACCATTTACATATTAGCTACAGAGTGGTGATATTATTCATTTACGCAATACCTCCTCATCCATTTTCTTATGGTTCCATTTGTTTGTATTAGGTACAGTAAAATAGCTAAATCTGATATGTCGTCTTTCCAAATATGGTCCAATAGTAGAAGATAATGCATTAGTGTATACTTGTACATAAAAGATAATAAATCAGGAATGTATCCGGATAGTGCAGGTCACTTGTACATGACGTTTTCAATTTAAATAACAACATTAAAACTCTAGCTTACCAATAGATTAATAATGAGTAGGTGCTAAAAATGGTCAGAAATTTAATAACGATACGGTTAAAACTTCTAAATGTGTGTTACCAGTTTAGGTTAGAATAAGCTATCCTGCTAATATAAAGCTAAAATTGAGATTTTATTGCAAATCTCATCTGTATGAAAAATACAAAATATTTTACGACAAAATTTGATCTCATCAATTAAAGTTTTCTATTAGTGTAAAGCAGAATTTTAGGCCGGTAAAGTGTAAAGGCCCCCCCCAAAAAAACCCTTAGTTTGAAGAGGCCAAAAAACTGAAAACTAACAATTGCACTCTGTTTAAAGATAGAGTTAATCCACAAAGATATCAAAGTTATGCATTTCAAACAGGAAATTACGTTAAAAACAATTTTTTTTTTGTGAGACATATGCTTTTAGAGTCCTAACATCTCTTTGAACTATAGAAAAGACGACATTCTGTGGCTTCTTATTTAAACCAATTGAGGCGTCTTGTTTTGCGTATAAATCCCAATACCCCTTTTATATTACCAAGCTCTATCTATCTATCTATCTATCATGGGGCTGCTAGTAGTGCGACAACTACTACCTGCCCACCCCTCGACGTACCCGGCCTCTTCCAATATTGGTGTTACGGCCAATTACCATAGCACAGTGCAATGGTTTATGCTCGCGCGGGTGGCCACAGGGGACTTGAGTCCCAGGTGGTTTTGTAGAAACCACAGCTACGAAAGTTACAAGAATTCGTTCCCATCTGTTTATAGGCTTTATCCTTCACATCCATGTCTTCAGTAAAATGCTTTTAGAAGGAAATGAAGAAATTACCTTACTAACATTCTGCATCTTTTCTCCATGTTTACGTATTTCTTGGTGTCCTTCCCTGTAAACAAAATTTACATTAAAGCATCATGAACTAAATAATAGTATCATTTAAGTACCCTTTATGTAAAATGTGTGTTGTGTATGATAGTTAATCGAAAAAGCAGTTTTTCTCTGAAAAAAATAAAAAATGAAATATGAAATTATCGATTCTTTAATTTTGTGTTCTGGTTCACAGACAGAACTCTTCAAAACAATAAATCATTTTAGTCTTGCATGCTGCACACCATAAACTAAACTACATGCCATATCCATACATTGCAGAATTTTCAAATTGCCTTATTTTTTTTTCGCTAATTTTTATGCTAAAAATTTTTTTTTGCGTATCCGGATCCAGGAAGCAAAATATTGCGGATCCAACGGATTCGGATCCTAAGCACTGCGGCCATACCCATACCCATACAAATAATGACTAGCTGAAGGGCCCGGCGTTGCCCGTGGAAAAAAATTAAGAACAAAATTTTTCGAATTTCTTTTAGCCTGTAATAATAAAAAAAAATTCAGTCCAATCGGTCCAGCCGTTTGGCCTGCTATAGGCAACATATATTTATACAAATGTCTTGTTTTCCTATATAGATAATAAAAATAATAATCATAATAATAACAACAAAAACAACAACAAAATAATAATAATAATAATAATAATAATGAAGTTAGTACCTATGTGGATCGACGATTCTGGGTCCCTTAACCTTCTTATGATCATAAAACCTTGAACTAGTCGGCACACTTGGCATCACAACATGGTAGGACTCATGATCACGTAGCCAATCCTAACAAGAAAACGTTCAGGTAAAGAATATTTTCATTATCGCGTAGCCAATCCTAACAAGAAAATGTTCAGTTAAAGAATATTTTCATTATCACGTAGCCAATCCTGACAAGAAAACGTTCAGTTAAAGAATATTTTTATTATCACGTAGCCTATCTTGACAAGAAAACGTTTAGTTTAAGAATATTTTTATCATCATGTAGCCCATCCTGACAAGAAAACGTTAAGTTTAAGAATATTTTTAATATCATGTAGCTGATCCTGACAAGAAAACGTTCAATATAAGAATATTTTCATTTTTACGTAGCCAATCCTGACAAGAAAACGTTTAGTTTAAGAATATTTTTATTATCATGTAGCAAATCTTGACAAGAAAACGTTCAGTTAAATAATATAATCCATGTTCACATAATTGAACAGGATATGAAAACTTCAGTAATGTCATGCTTTAGAGTCAAGTTACTAATCCAAGCAAAAAACATTTATAATAGGATCATGAAATGATTGATCAGGTACCAAATCATGACGCAAAAGACCTTTTTGTTTCCAAATCAAACACGAAAACGAAAGCCAAAACCAGTGCTTAATATTCATCTCAATTATGATGCAGATCCTGGATTCGCCCGGAAAAAAATGAATCCAAATCTTTAAGATCTACTGATTTTTCAAAACATTTTTCTTCTTTTTGTTCACATATTTTTATGCTGAACCTTGATGATAGAGTAACCATTCAGAAATAAAGAAGTTTTAAACAATCTCAACGTTTTTTTAACAGTTTAGATTTAGGTTTTGAGAGCGAAAAGTTTTTTTCTTCAGTTCTTGGTAGGTATTTTGCGGATCCGGATTAAAAAGCAAAAATGTTGCAGATCCAAGGGATTCGGTACCCGGATCCTAATTACTGGCCAAAACTATTTACCATTATTTAATTCAAAATAATTAATAATAAAAATAAATTCTTTACTAACCTGAAGACTAGCTTGTGTTGGTGCATTAGGTCCGTTGAGCAAAGTGTTAGTTTTAGGTTCAAGAACAACAACTGTGTTATTAGACTTAGCCTTGTTAGAGTCCTTCAGTAATTTCAACGCCTTAATAATTCATATTTCAAAACCAATCCGTATAAAATTTAGAAAAATAATTTACAATCGTTTAATTAATTGGTTTAATTTATGTAATTGTATCACTGGTGTGATAATTAAAACATCTCGATCTTTTGTCTATGTTGTCCATTCAGTGGTTTAGGCATTCATCCAGTTTATTTTGTTTTTCATTTTGATGACTTTGAATGAGGGGGCCGGGAACGAATAAAACTTCTTGAGGAAAAGCCTACAGACCAGCTTTATTCTTATTATCATGCGATATTATTTTCAAGTCAAATGAACTGATTCAAATCAAAAGACTAGCATCTAAAAACTAACCTGCGATGCATGTGCTTTAATGCACGCTTCAGAACAGTATATGGAGGAATCTCTAGGAGGATTATGGCACATGTGACAGGAGGGACGCTTCGGCTAGAACAAAATATGAATTTAAACCTTCAAAGATTCTATAATTTGATACTAAAACTACCAAATTCAGACAATAATGGCATCATAACTATAGAGCAACAAATGAGCCAATTTACACTTTACAGCATTCATGAACGTTCACAATTTAAAAACATGAAGAACACCTTTTTCTCCTTCTCCTTGACATCACTTTTCCTTCTCCTTCTTCCAGGAGACTTACTGGAGTTCTTCTCCCCAACTTTAACCTCCTCCTCCTCTTCGGCCTCCTTCATGTCCTCCTCAGCCTCGACAACCTCGTCCTTATCCTTCCCGTCCTGATTGAGACATTTAGGACATTTCCAATCTTGTCCTGCGTCCTCCATCTCCTAAATAAGAGATTTTGGTTACCTGAGTTCCGTCCAGATACAGAAGACGTATTTTTAAATTTACAATATTCTTATTTCTACAAAGGCCTCCGGAAGAAAGTTTTCAGTTTCACCCTGAACTTTAAATGTAAACAACGCATTTTTTTTGTACATTTACACTGTACATGGTACAATGCTGACTGTACATGTAAACGCAGATATAAAAAAGTATTTCTTTGTCGCAAACAGATACTGAACTAAAAATGAAAACCATGCTTAATTTTTATTATAGCCAAAATATATCAAAACATTTTTACAGGTAAAAACAATTTTAAAATCTAAAGAATGAGTTCCGCGTCTATCTTCGATTGAATATGTACCAGATAGTGCTCGAATAATTTAGCTATTAAGACGGTTATTGGTCAAAAAAAAAATTCAAAAAAAAAACGATCAAAAGTTTAAAAGATAAATATATTTAAATCATATGCAATAAATTACTTACCTTTCCCTTGGCTTTGGTGATACCAACACATTTCCCATGGAACCAGTCCAGGCAAATATCACAACAAATCATAAACCTGAAAATCATATTTTTATCAAAATGCAAATAACGGATTATCTTTATATTTGAAATAGTAATCTTAGTTTGTTTATTTGCATGTCCGATCAAAACCCCTGAACCCCTTGACCGTCCAGCCTAAAAATTTTATATGCAGAACCACAAAAATTTGGTTAGCTCGGTTTAACTGTTCCAGGCTGAGTGGGTTGACTTTTACAGGGAAAACATAGTCTCCAGACAAAGCTGGGTTCCCAAAATAGTATAAACCAAGTTTGAATTGACCTGTTGTTATGAGGTTGCTGACAGGTACACCATAACCGATCAGGATCATCCTCACTAGCCCAGCTATCATCCTCCTCACTAGACTCATCATCATCATCATCTTTATCCTCATCATCCTCAGCCCCAACCTCGCCCTTGCTCCTTCGCTCTTTCCGCTCCTTTACCAAAGGAGACTCAAATCCATGAAGACTGGCGGGGATCTTTCGCCGCCGCTGAGGTCTTCCACCTCCCCGACTCCGCCCTCCTCGCATAGATTTCACAGGGCCGGACTTCTTTCTGTTTGCTTCTTGAATGACCTGCGCTGACTGACGCAAATCTTTGTCTTGTTGACGCTGAGAACGACGGGATCTACGCTTAGTATCTCCTTCCTCCTACAACGAAGAGCTTTCTTACTTAATGGCGAGACGAAAAAATTGCCGTCTAAACAAAAAAACAGAAACAAAACTGCGACTAGAAACAAAATGGCGTCTATAACAAAATGGCCACTAGAAACAAAATGGCGTCTATAACAAAATTGCGACTAGAAACAAAATGGCGTCTATAACAAAATGGCGATTAGAAACAAAATGGCGACTTAACACATAGAAACTATAAAAGGCGCTCATCACTACCTGGGAACTGTCTCCAGGATTGTTAGTGTCTGTATGATAAGCCTAAAATAATATAATCAAATTGGATGATATCTAGTAAAGCTATCCTTTAGTCCGCTTTTTCTCATCCCGTTCTCTGTCCCATCCCATCCCATCCCATTTCGCCTCGTCTCGTCCCGTCTCATCCCATCCCATCCCATCCCATCCCATCCCATCCCATCCTATCCATCTATCCATTTTATTACCTCCCCCAAGAATGTTTTCGCCTCATCAGACTGAAGAACAGATTCAAGTTTCAACATTTGCTCCTGATCCAGCATTAACATCGGGTTCATACCTGCAGTAATAATAATAATAATGACAATGATGATAATTCAGTTAGTTAGATGGTAATGATGGTAATGATGATTGATAATGATGATGGTAATGATAATTGGTAATGTGGTAATGAAGATGGTAATGATGGGAACGGTGGTAACGATTATAATGAGGATAATGAGGATAGTGAGGATAATGAAAATAATGAAAATAATGAGGATATTGATGATAATGATGATAGTGATGATAGTAATGATAATGATGTTAGTGATAATAAAGTTAATATTTATAATTATTAGTTCGTACTTACTTGGATCTCCTCCCATGGCTTGTATCAACTCATTTGCATCTAGATCAACCTGAACATGGAACAATTATGATGATAATTAAATTTATTTTTCAGTTGGTACTTTTTCATTTTCATTTATTTTGCCCATAACATCATTTATTTTTCCAAATTCAACAAATAAAACCCAAAATACCACAAAAAACTTTTGGAAGAAAAATGATTTTTCGAGAAAATATACACCCCTTGAATTTTTCTGCCAACAATCCATTTAATTAAGGAAAGCTATCATCTAATTTTCGAATTAACAAATTTCTTTAATCGAAAAAACGAACGTTTAAACTATAATAAAATAAAATAAAATAAAATCAACATATTTTCAAATATCACAGCTGGCTCATCAAAAATTCCAAAATATTCCGCATTCATAATTTTTCTTCATAAGATGATCTTATTTTACTAGATGAGCATGTATGAACAATTGGCATTAAATATTCCCTCAGCAAAATATTAAGGCAAAGTGGATTAAAAAGTTTCAAAATCCGGATGAAAATGCTGGTATAGATGTTACCTGGTTCTCCACTACTACCCCCTCCTCTCCTACTCGGACAAAGGTTACCCGAGCACTTTTCTGGTTTGATCCAAGCACACCAGCTAGCGCGCTTTGATCTATATTTATCTCACCCTTGAACAAAATGGAATATGAGACTAAAACATGTAAAAGCTAGTGTCAAAAATGTTTTTAAATAGCTAGTGTTTAATTCTAACGGTTTTCTTCATTGATTCTGTAGCAGAAATCCACAAATCACTTGAAGACAAATTAAAAAGATTAATTTTAAGAAGAAAAAACATGTCTAACTTCCTCATAGTTGCTCAGATTAAGGTATGAATGCTACCACTTTGAATCATTAAAGTGGGGTATTTTAAAATTAATAACAGTTGTTATAAACTGAAAAGTTTAAAAGATTGTACTGTTTTAATATTGATCATTCTTGAAAAGCTAGGTATTAAGTGATGACCCCCCCCCCCCCCGCCCCTCCCCATATGTGATCAAAATTCCAAATCAAACATTTGTTTATTTAACCAACAACTTAGAACTGCAACAATTACTGAATTCCTTTCCATCTAATCTTCTATATGTATAAAGTTGTAATCTCTGTTTATTTGTCCGATCATAACTCAGAAACCCCTGGACCAATTTGCCTCAAATTTTGATTAGGAACCTCAGGAGAGCCACAGGAATGTTCTTAGCTTGGTTTCGAGATTCTATCTTGAGTTTTCCGGTAAAAATCGACCAAGTGCGGGTAAACGTCAGGAGTAACTAAGCATAATCTGGGAAACGCTAGGTTCCCAGGCTAGTTTACACATACAGTTGTCACCTTGGCATTGATTGTGATGGTGATACTATGCGCAGGAACATCCTCTTCACCACCTTCACCTAGAGGGAGTACACCTTCTACAGGGAGTACACCTGCTACAGGGTATACTCCCTCTCCTTCAGCCAGCACAGGATCAACAAGCATTCCTACAAGAGAAACGTTTTAATAATAATAATAATAGATTTAAGCACGCATTCCTACAAGAGAAATATTTTAGATTTTAGCAAGCATTCCTACAAGAGAAATATTTTATATTTTAAGATACCCTGGAGTTTATTATATTCAATTAAACATTTTTAAGTCAAATGCTTTCAGGAAACTGCATCATTTGAAGTCCGATTTAATTATGCATGGTTTTTGAAGGACTTCACAAGAATGATTCTAAATTTTATGCCGTACAAGTTTGTTTATATTAATTTATTAAATTTTTTATTCTCTGACCAAAGATAAAACCCTTAACGATTTTCCTATTATTTTCCATGCAACATTTAGAAGTGTTTAAGGCAATTTCGGTGGATTGAGATCAAATCTAAAATCCATTTAATTAAATGTTTGAAAATCAATTTATAACTTGAGATATGGACAGTATCATAAGCCAATGTTTAAAATATGTCCAAAGTATTAAAAGGTTTAAAATGACTGTGATAACTGTTGCGTTAATATTTTCTTTAATTAAACACCTTGTACAAAATGAAGAAAAATCGCAATCTGATCTCGTCTTTTCTTTAAATAAAAAAACCGTCTTATTCTTCGCAAAAAACTTGCTTTATCATTCAATATGTAGGAAAGTTTCATTGAGATAACACGTGTAATGAGATAACACGTGTAATGAGATAACACGTGTAATGTGTATTTTTAAAAATCTTGGTGATATGGTTAAAATACTGCTAGAAGCTAATATATTACTAATCCAATGAATCCGGATCCAGGAAGCTAACATATTGCTGATCCAGTGAATCCGGATCCGGGAAACCTAAGTGTTGCTGATCCAGTGAATCCGGATCCAGAGATGGAATTTAAAGAATTTGAGCCGCGGTTTAAATCCGCCAAAACCCGGTTCAAATTAAGCGCCGGCATAAATCTTGAAACATTTGATACAATTTTAAGTGGAACTAACCATATTTAAACCGCGGCTTAAATTTAAACCGCCGCTCAAACTCTTTAAATTCGGCCACAGGGAGCTAAAATATTGCTGATCCAATGGATCCAGGGAGCTAAAATATTGCAGATCCAATGGATCCAGGGAGCTAAAATATTGCAGATCTAATGGAACCAGAGAGCTAAAATATTGCTGATTCAATGGATCCAGGGAGCTAATATATTTCGGATTCAATGGATCCGGGAAGCCTAAGAGTTGCTGATCCAATGGATCCAGGAAGCAAAATATTGCTGATCCAATGGATCCAGGGAGCTAAAATATTGCGGATTCAATTTATCCAGGAAGCTAAAATGTTGCTGATCCAATGAATCTGGATCTAGGGTGCAAAAATTTTGCTAATCAATAGATCCAGATCCAGCGAGTTAAATTGTTGCCGATTTTATGGATCCAAATCCTATGTACTAATCTTTATACCTAGCTCGACTGCATCTACTTCACTATCCATTTTTCTTCATTTAAATTTTCTGAAAAAAATGTTAAAAATAGCAATTGGCAGGATGGAAATGATTACTAGGTTAAATATTTAAATAATAATAATCACAGTTTGTTAATTCTTAATGTACTAATCATCATGAACTAAATAAAATCTTAATGAACTGTGCAGTGCATGATAATTGATTTTCACATTTTTTAATTCACAGCATTTACAAAATCTTGATATATTAGGTGCTTAAAGACTGACTAGAGCCGATCTTCTCAATCTAGATGATCAGACATCCAACCAATCCTTGAAATATTGACAGCTGGAAGGATTGATCCTATATGATCAGAAATTTAACCAATCCTTGAAATATTGACAGCTGGAAAGATTGATCCTATATGATCAGAAATCTAACCAATCCTTGAAATATTGACAGCTGGAAAGATTGATCCTATATGATCAGAAATCTAACCAATCCTTGAAATATTGACAGCTGGAAGGATTAATCAGACCAGATTCTCCACAATCTTGTATCACGGGACAAACCCCACAAGGAGATCTTACAAAACCTGAAAAAGAAAATAATTTGAGGTTAATAAAAAATCGAAAAGTGATGTTTTTCTCCCTCACATTTGATTGACCATTGACAGATAAAGGGGGTATTCCATACTCTTGAGAAACTGTCTTTCAACAGCTACGTTTTGTTGTAGATTTCGCCATCCGTGGATCACAACATTCTTTTCTGGTCCGGATCCAAGAAGCCGTAATGTACTGAGGTCAAATTGTTATTTTTTAAATCTATTCAGAGGTAGAACATATTCCAATGGGAAACTTTTTATTTGATTTTATTTTATTTGTAAAAACAGCTATTTCATCCTTTCACGACATCTCTCATTCATTTAATCCGTCGAATACATTTAGAAAAGGATCAATACAGAATAGCCGAGCTATAAGCTGAAAACTTTAAAATTGTGGATATCGAGTATAATGCTTGATCTTCTATTTTTATTAATCTGAAGATTAGTCTAATCTAGTCTAGTCTAGTCTAGTCTAGGTAAATGTCTATAATAATAATGCAAAAACCGAAGAGCCGATCAGAAGACGAGACATTTTGCGCGCAATCAATAAGAGAACTCTGATTTGTCTGAAACCCAGCAGATATTTTTCCAAAGAGAGGATTAATCATAAAATCAAAAGTGTCCACAGTGAATATAGAGATAAAGGGTATCCAGTTTTTAGCTCTGGTCAATCTATACCTGGTGTGGATACTGGAGAGTTAACTGCTCTATATACGGAACCTGATTCTACATCCTAGAATATTAAAAAAGAAAGTTAATTTAAAAAGAAACAATAAAGTCACATTTATATTTCTTTCATGTTAAATTTATCGGTGGTTGACAGTTAGTATTTGTCGACGCTAAACTCGCACCCCATAGGATTAAGAATTGAAAGTTTAATACTAATACTAGCACAGAACAGATAAGATACCTTTATATGGTAAAAAAGTGAATTATTGACTAGATAAAAGATATTAAAGATACATGTCAAATACGCGTCAATAGGCACGCTTTGAAAAATTATATAGCAGCAAAAAAGAATTGCACCATCAAAGTAAACGTAGATATTTTCTAGGTCGTCTTCTTTCAATTTACAATAAACCAGCATCAGCGTTATTTTGTGCATAGAACTATATCTAGAAAGAAAAAAAAAACAATATTGCACCTGCCCTCTTTCTGCTTTGCCATCATATACCAGGGTTTGAAGAATAGCCTCGATATCCTCAAGCCGTAGTTGAACTTTACTTATACCCAGCTCAGATATATGGGATAAAATCTAGTGATAAAACAAATCAATATCCACATCTACTTTTTAATCCATAGTGCAATTAATATTATATAAATATAAGGAAGACGACTTTCTATTTAAATATTGATTTCTAACAAGCTTTCTTCAAATTTTACAAGTAACCAAACAGAAGCTGCTAATTAACAGTTTCTCGTTGTTTTCATGTGTATGTGTATCCATGCTGTTTGAAAGCTTGTCATAAATACCAATTGAAATCGAAAGTAGTTTTTATTGTATTGATATATAGGACGATGACTGTAGATTTTTCTATGCTTTGAAGAACATATTCATATTTCTTTCAAGAGACGCGAATTTTCCTAGAAGAAATAGAAACATATTTTCTTACAACAATATGACACGGACTTTTACATCCACAAATTAACACATAACAATTGTATTTGAGGACAGAATAAACGAGTTAGGTGAAGTAAATACAATAATTTCAAGAATTGAATAGTATCCTATCTCCTGTTAATAAATGAGAATCTAATATAAGCCGTTCCTCACGGACCCGGAAAATTATTTATTGTTAGAGAGAAAACATGGTTACTTCTTTGCTTTGAACCATTGATGTATTTCTGACAGCCAGGGGTCCTCCAGTGCACGAACTTTTACTTTTTTCAGACCTAAAATTAAACAACTATATGCATTTCATTTTGTTTTTATCTCATTTTGAAAAGTCAGTCCTTCCTACTCAGAAAAGTTGTAACAAAAAAAATACTAAAACAAGACGCCAATATAGCGAATGAATTTTAGGAAAAATCGTCAAAACGACAGAAAAATCCAAACTTCTTTTAGTGAACACCTATTTCTTTGTGGACACCTAATAAAGCAATAAGATAAGGGAAGAATCTCCCCCTCCCCTCCCCATTTTGAGTATAGAGCAATGGGCATCTATCTATATATAAATTTGACTTGTCTGTTTGTTTGTTTGTATCCAATAAACGTCAAAACGGCTGAACCGATCGGGCCCACATTTTTTGTGGGACATCTAGGGACCCCAGGGAAGGTTTATGAATGATCAAAATTTCAAATATTTGTCTCCATCAAAATTCGATCTCCATTAAATTTTTAAAAATTTTGAAAATCCTGACTTCTGCCATCCTGTGTATTTGTCTTCATTCGCTATCGGTGAAAAAAAAGATAGTGTAAAGCTCAAATCCCGTCCTAATTTTCCTGTTCAAAAAACTTTTGTATTATTAATCCCGCCAGTTTAAGTTTATCAGTTTTGCTATTGCTATCTCTAAAGGTATAAAGAGAATTTGACCAGTGAGAGTTGATTTGAACAATCCTGGGCCATACAAATCTTCTCTCATCTAATGAAAGCGTTTATCAGCTTAATTTGACATCAAGAACTTACTTGCTTCAAATTACAAATTATAAATGTGATTCGTCGAATAAAAAAGTGAACCCCCACCCTTATTCAGTTTTTTTTTAATCCCCCCCCCCCCTCTTTTATAGAAAAGGATACACCAGGCATATTTAATAAGAAATCAACAATAAGCGGTATCTCATCAAAATGTTTTACAAAACATTACATTCTCAAAACTCTCTTCTCTGGGGAGGTTTAAGGATACAGGTTTACACACTAAGAATTATACTATAAAAACGGCTTTGAACTATTAAAATACGACGATCCCAAGATTAAATTAAGTTTTATGCCTTAAATATTGGCTTTTTATTAAATTTGACTAAGAGAGAAACTTGTTTGGAGTTGCAAAGAATAATGAATGTAAGGAAACCGGACAATATAAATTCTATACCGTCGTCTCTGAAGTGGAATAATTTGTGGGTAAACCTGTTTGTTTGATAAAGGGGGGGGGGGGATATTTTTTCACTTAGCTACACAACTGCAATACCTGTGACGGTTCTATCTGGTTCAAGATCATAAAGCATATAAACTTTCTTCTTCGTAGCATTCACACACTTGACTGCTTTGATCAGTTTCTTGGTTTCTAGTGACTTTAACACCTAAAGTAGACATATTATTAAGGTATATGTATGTGGCGTCCCTGTTGGATTTCTGGAATGCTGAACACAGCATACTCCATATGTTATTGTTTTTATTATTGTTTACTGCATCTTGTATAAATACTGTGTTAGATAAATATATATTCAGTTAGCTTATCACTACTCATTCTTACTTATTCATATATGCTTATATATATATATATATATATATATATGTTCTCTTTATAATAAAGTTTTCGCTAGTATATGCATATGTCAGCTATAGCTCGCTTAATGGCTGGATCAATTTAGCTAAATTTTTTGATGGCCCTTGAGTACCATAGGTTCACTTCAACTAGTATTTTATGTTTTAACACATATGCCAGTCATGAATTAGTTTGTTGGTTTCTAGTGACTTCAAACACCTACAGTAGATATTTATATCTTATACATATATATATATCTTATATCTTATAAATATATCTTATATATTAATACATATATCTTTATTTAAAGAATCAGCTTCAAATTAAAACATTTTAATATATCTCATTATACATGACGTTTCATGCCTTGCGATAATCTTCATTAATTAATCCTGACTGATTTACTATATTCATACATGTGCAATTATATATATATATATATATAATTGATATATATTCAATTTATTATTCAATCAAAAATAACATATATATATATATATATGTAAATTAGCAAACTTGACAGCTTTTATCAGTTTCATGAAAGCTTATAATTTACACAGTAAATTATCATATTTTCTTAGCTAAACGTTTTTAGGCCTAGGGTCCTTTATTAATGAACCATTTGATAAAAAGCTTACTAAAACTGACGTTTAGAATAACTTTATGTTGTCTAAGCATTTTGTTTACCTTATTTAACTGTGTCTGTAATAACCCGGAGTTTGTTCTAATATCTCGTAACCAGATTCCTGCATTATACAAATTCAGAAGTAAAATTTTGATATTTTTTATTTTTATATAAAAAAGACTTTAGTTAAAAATAATGAAATGTTTGAAAAGCATTTACTAGTGTTAAAATATGGTCGATAGTCATTCATCAATTTAAAAATTGTTAAAGAAATATCCAGATTACTTATTTTCCCGCCTTTGGACCAACATAAAAATAACCACCCGCTCTGCGAAGTTTTCAGCAAAAAATTCGCGCATTTCCATCTCAAAAGATGAAAATTGTGTACAACTACTTTTTCAAGAAATTTAAATTTTACTTGGTCTTGGGAACCCTTAGTAAAGTAAAATTCCCTTGACTTCCCTGTAAAGTAGTTGTAAATAATTATAACTATATTACCTAAGTTACCAGAAGTTTCTATTATTTTAAAAACTATTTTCTCCTCCTGATCCCCCCTGATGTTTGTAGCTCTTGTCGGGGCCTTGAACTTGTACATCAAACCATCCTGACGAAAAATGAATAAAGGTATTTTCAGGGTTGTATTTTTCCTGGCAAATCTTTCCCCCGCACCCCTCTTTAGAAAATCATTTTTCCCAAAAAGTTTTTTCAGGGAGTTATCCCATTATTTAAAAAAAATTTTAATTAGAAGAAAGAATTTTTTTTTGGGTTGAAATTTAAACATTTAATACTTAAATTTAAACATTTAATACTTGAATTCTAAAGAATCTTATAAAGTTAATAAATGTTTAAAACCAATCAAGTCAAATCAAATCAAATCATCATGTTTAGGGATTGCTTTGGGCTCCCGCATACAGGGTGAGGTTTCAATTCACTATGTACTTAGGTTTTTCAGCCTGGATCTATATAAAATTTGTGTTCCTATTACTCTTGCTCGATTTGAAAACATTAAAACATTAAGAATAACACACACAAACAAGCCCCCCCCCCCCCTGGGAAAAATGTCTTTTTCTGTTATGTTAATTTTCCGCAATACAGCGAATAAAACATACTTCTGGGGGGGGGGAATTATTTTATTTGAACTATTACCGTTGATTTGAATAGATCTATCTTTCCTGCCACTAGCAGCCTGTTTATACACTGCGCTCTTATCCTAGAGAAAAGGGTAGAAATATATTAATGCGGTTTTTTTCTGTTAAAATTGGTGCTTTGTCAAAATCGACAAATGTTTACATTAATTTGTGCATTTTCAAAATAACCCAGGCAAAATTTCTCAGCATAAACCTCCGTGGGGACACGTGAGTTTAAATAAATCAAAAAACAAATTGGAAGTCAAATCAAGTACCGTACTTGAAACTCAATACTCATGAAAAGTCGGACCTAGTATCTGAAGAAATAATACCGTGGTAAGTCCTAACCCCGCCCCTTCATTTCAAACGAACAGTCCCTTTAAAATTACCTAGGATCCAGGGTCGGGAGTTCGTTCTGAATAACTTTGTCGTTTATCCCCTGAAGAAAAATAAATCAAAAATGAGGGAAGTTACGATTGGTCAAAATTAACATTCAAGACGCCTGCCTAAGGTGCGTATAGAAATAAACGTTTATCAATCAAGTCAAAATTAAGTATTGACAACTTACGTCAGGCATTTCTTCACACAGCGCCGATATTTTGGCACAGAAATCGTCGATTTCGCCGGTCTCTGTTTTCACTTCTGTCATATTTGTGTTGTTAAATGTTTAATCTATGAAATATAAAAAATAATTAAAAACAATGCTTGCGCGGATGCGCCGCTGAATTCTTCAGTTTTAGGAAAACCTGATTAATTGATAGAAATACAATAATTGTAAAAACCTTTTGAAATTTCTAAAGTTCTCATTAACTTTTAACTAGACTAAATTAGAAAAAAATTTCACTCATTAAATTCCTTTAAGAATTTCCAAATTATTTACTTATGTAAAAAATGTTGACAAAATTCATCACAATTATCATATCACAAAATGTCAGCATAATTATTTAAACTAGAGCTTAAATTTATGCAAATACTTGCGAAATTTCCTCCAATTGATGTTTATTTGTGAATAAGGATTGATTTGCTGGAGAAATGACAAAATGTTTGATGTTAAGTTCTAACAACAGAGAATGATGTCTTCTCAAAGTTTAGATCCGTTTTCGAGGGATATGTGACTTTAAGACTCCCTCCTTCATCCAGTACTCTGCCTTGCTCCACCAGGAGGCAGTTGGACTGGAGAACTTCGGATCCTTCAACCTCCTCCTCCCGTCCCAACCCTAGCTCCAGCATCTCTCTGTACATACAATATTATTATTATCATTATTAGAAATCTAATGAATGTGAACATCAATAGCATTTAGCCAATACACTGGAAATGTAAACCGGTTTTACATCCCCCCTTTTAAG